ACGATAAATACCACATGAACTCACTCATTTGTGGAATATAAGGAACAACATAAACTGATGAACAAGGACTGATCCAGAGACGGAGAGGCATTGATTGGACTGTGGGGCTTTGGAGGGAGGGTAGGGGAGGGTGGGGGTAAGGGGGAAAGATCAACCAAAGGACTTACATGCAGGCATATAGGCCTAAACAATGGTCACGGACAACGTGGGGGGAGGGGGGTAGAGGGTAACGTGGGGACAAGGACACATATGTAATATCTTAATCAATAAAAAATATATTAAAAGAAAATGCCCAGAAATACTTTATACTTTCCCATCTCTACCCCTCTTCCTAATATTCAGCCCCCGCTCCAGTCTCCTGACAAAATTCTATCCTTTCTTCAAAGACTAACTCAGAAACCACCTTCTGTGTGAACCCTCACATGACATGTGCAGCGTGTAGTCTTTTCTCTCTTAGAAATCTTAACACTCACTACTGTGTACACTGTGCCATATCATGGTTATTTGTGCACATATCTCCCTAACTTCCTTAAGGCTTCCTGAGGGTCTACTCCATGCCTTGTACTATTTTATATCTTGCATAGCCCTGTACAAGTAATCAATAAATATGTTGAAAAATGTTACTGAAAAGCAGTAAAGATTTGACAAGTAGCCCTAACCAGTTTGGCTCAGTGGATAGAGCATCGGCCTGCGGACTGAAGGGTCCCAGGTTCAATTCTGGTCAAGGGCATGTACCTTGGTTGTGGGCACATCCCCAGTGGGGAGTGTGCAGGAGGCAGCTGATCGATGTTTCTCTCTCATCGATGTTTCTGACTCTCTATCCCTCTCCATTCCTCTCTGTAAAAAATCAATAAAATATGTTAAAAAAAAGATTTGACAAGTAATGGCAATTATAAAATAGAAATGCATTTATGATGCATTTCAAAGAACATTAAACACTATGACTTTCTGAAGACAAATGATCTATATATAAGGTGTCTCTGCATGGGGAAACTGCCTTCATCTTTCCAAACACTTATTAAAGCACCCTTGTGAAAAGGCTATTCAGCTTCACACATTTGGTTTGAATCAGAACTGTGGGAACAGATCATACTTTACTAAGTTTTGAAAAACTTGAAATCCTCTGTTTTATATCAGGACAATAAAAACATAGCCATGGTCATTATTTCATTTACCTTCTTCATGTTCCCTCCAAGGGCAGGGTACGGAGGCTTGTTGACACGGCTCCAGTTGACTGGCACACGGATCATTTCATAGAGCTGGAAGATCACTAGAGCATCTGCAAGATCACTAAAGTAGGAGGAAAAGAAGATGAAGGAGGAGGAAATGCTGGTACTACATAGTTTTATTAAGCACACTGGAGATGGGCTTATGTCTTTAAAAATACAACAGGCTCAATTAACACTTAAAGCACAACAGGTTACATCATTTGACCCAGAACTTCTAATCTAGAAATCTGTCCAAAATTTCTTCATGAACGTTTACAAACATAATGTGTACAAGGACATTTATTGCCATAGCATTTATACATTTGGAAACAACTTAAATATCAGCTAGTAGAGGGCTGCTGAATAAACTATTCATACCATGGACTCCTGGGCTACCATAAAACATAATAAGGTAGATTTCTATGTACTCACTTTACAAGATATATTACATTAAAAAAGGAAGTGGCAGAACACTACATATTTTATTAGTTATTAAATTTATTTTAAAAAGTAAGAGTATTTAAATACCTATATGTGCTTTTGGCTGTTAAAAGTTATTATCTCTGGGCAGGAAAGAATGTGGAAAGGATAAGGGACAGATTGTCATGTTTTGTTTTATTCTACATATTTCTTGAAACTTGTACAATGGTAATGGAGTCTATATATTGCTTATGTATTATGATTTTTAAAACTTTTAAAAATAATTACAGAAAAATCACAATAGCTACTTGGTAGGAAGTTATTCATCTCTATATATAAAAGTCTAAGTGACTGGACTCGCTGACCGGCCAGTAGCTATGACACACACTGACCACCAGGGAGCAGATGCTTAACATAGGAGCAGAAACCACAGGTGTGGAAATATGGAACAGACTGAAGAATCTCATCAGGAAGGCGGGAGAAGGGAGGGTGGGAAGAGATTAACCAAGGTTCTTATATGCATACTAGAGGCCCGATGCACACATTCGTGCACTGGTGGGTTCCCTTGGCCTGGCCTGAGCCCTCTCACAATCCAGGACCCCTTGGGGGATGTCAGACTGCCAGTTTCAGGGTTGTATCCTGATCCCCGCAGGCCAGTCCGAGGGACCCCACCAGTGCACGAATCCATGCACTGGGCCTCTAGTGTTAAATAATAAGGGTTAAGAGGAAGGAATTTGCACTAGGCAGTGTTACTCAGTTGGCTGGAACATTGTCCCATACACAAAAAGGTGGCAAATTCAATTCCTGGTTAGGGCACATGCAGGAGGCAGCAGATTGATGTTTCTCTCTCACATCCATATTTCTCTCCTTCCCTCCCTCAAAAATAAATGAAAAAGCATGACCTCAGGTGAGGATTTAAAAAAAAAAAAAAAAGAGGAAGAAATTTATGAGCAAGTAGGAGTTACTGAAGAATAGTACTACTTTGGATTCAGAAAAAATTATTCTCCTGAGATGCTCAAAGTATGTCCATCAAGTCTGTTTTCTTTTTTTTTTTAAATATACTTTATTGATTTTCTACAGAGAGGAAGGTAGAGGAATAGAGAATTAGAAACATTGATGAGTGAGAAACATTGATCAGCTGCCTCCTGCACACCCCCTACTGGGGATGTGCCCGCAACCAAGGTTGCCCTTGACCAGAATCAAACATGGGACCCTTCAGTCTGCAGGCTGATGCTCTACCCACTGAGCCAAACCGGTTAGGGCCATCAAGTCTGTATGCTAAGGACACAAAGAAACAGCAGGTGATCTTAAACTTGCTAGGTCTGTGATGTGTAATGTGGCTTTTCTCTCTCAATAATTGTTCACTGAGCTATGGAAAGGATAAGGGACAGATTGTCATGTTTTGTTTTAGTCTACATATTTCTTGAAACTTGTACAATGGGAGGGGTATCCATATATTGCTTATGTATTATAATTTTTAAAACTTTTAAAAATAATTACAGAAAATCACAATAGCTACTCGGTAGGCAGTTGTTCTTTAGCTAAGATTCATATTAAAGTTACTTTGCATCTGTGAGCACACATGCGATACCAGTAAAGGGGGCTTGCCCCTGTGTTGAGCAATGGAAGGAGTCTATTATGAAGGTAATTAAGCACTGACGAGGTCATCTATAAGCACATGGAGATTTTTGTAATAAAAAATCATTAAAGTTATTTGTATAACTTCTGGAATCTCATCTATTTCATGACTTTTTCCTTTTAACTTTAAATGAAGTCATTCTTATTTCTATGTAGTATGGTATTATTATTATTATTTATGTTTTGCAAATAGAGAAACTGAAACCTGAGGCATGTGGCCCACCGGCCGCAAGTTTGACATGCTTGGTGTACACCCTTGGTCTCTCTCCAATAACTCACTTTAAAAACTTGGCACTGTCTGGGAAAAATTATTTGGTTTGGTAAATAATTTTAAGTGCTGTTTTATTACCACTGCTGTCAACTAGTTGATCAGCCTTTATATATATAAAAAATCTGTTACACAAACACACACAGTTCTCCTTTATAGCAGGAAGCAGTCTTTATCTTCAAGGGAGGTGATGCATGCATTCTGGGAACAAAGTGGCATGGATGGTGTGACTTACTGGGATAGCTGCTTGTCAGCAGAGTGTTTGTGTGTGTATCTGTGTGTATATGTATGTGAATGTGTGCGTGTATGTGTGTATATGGGTGTACACTGTGCCCACGCTTGTGTGGGTTTTTCCCACTTTACAGTCACTGCTGAGAACACATCTGTATGGGTAGTTGCTACTACCCACTGTCAAGCTAGAATTTTAGTGGTGTTTGGTATAATTTCTGGGCACAAATTTATCAGCACAGTGGATGTTGGGGTTAGCTTTTCGGCAGGTGCCCCATTAAGCAGATGGTGCTCCACTGCACTAAGGAAAAATGTAGTTTTGTCCAAGAAGAACTACTGCACTGTCAGCAGCAGATCAAAGGGATCTTCATTCCAAGCCACTCCAGACCAGAAATTATAGTGGGGACAGTCTATAGGAGACCAGAGGGAGAGAGACCATAGAGCAGTGATGGCGAATCTATGACATCTCTGACACGCTAACTCATTTTTTTGGTTGATTTTTCTTTGTTAAATGGCATTTAAATATATAAGATAAATATCAAAAATATACATCTTTGTTTTACTATGGTTGCAAATATCAAAAAATTTCTATATGTGACATGGCACCAGAGTTAAGTTAGGTTTTTTCAAAATGCTGACACACCGAGCTCAAAAGGTTCACCATCACTGCCATAGAGAATCACCTTGTCACACTTGAGTCATTGGCTAGGTGCAGCCACTTGTCATGCCGGTGTTCGTCCAAGTTGGGTACCTTCTGTGTGTTGTCACCATAAATGGTAGAGCATGTTACATGAATGCATTGTGGGTGGGAAGCTTGTTGTTACTGATCATCCCTCTGGCAGAGGAGTGAGTAGACCTCACAGGTTGGCATAAAGACAAACCTCAGGGAGGGTCTTGAAAGGAAAGTAACTGTTTACTTCTCCCATCTTTTCTCCCTGTTACCTCCAGCTTCTGGCTGAGTGGCAATCCCACTGTGGGAGCACACTGACTGCCAGGAGGCAGCTCCTGCATTGAGTGTCTGCCCCTGGTGGTCAGTGCATGTCATAGCGACAAGACATTTTGCAGTTCGGTCGATTTGCATATTAGGGTTTTATTATATAGGATTCTGAACTGGAGATTAATGCCAAAAAGACCAAGATCACTGGCTGAGGGTTTATGATGGAGTTATTTCTGCTTCTTGGTATTTATTCAAAATATTATTTAAAATCTAAAACCAGTAGTGCCTTATTATGGCAATGACTTTGATGTGATAGACTCACATTTGATAAACTCTTTTTTTTAAAATTTTGTTTTATTGCTTAAAGTATTACAAAGAGTATTACATATATCTCCCTTTTTTCCCCTTGACCTTCCCCCTGCCTCCCCTACCCCCCAGTGTCTTGTGTTTATGTAAATTCAGCTAAATTATAAGAGATATGCTATTTAGACCAGAACTCTTATATAGTAGCAGGGCAGTGAAGGTCTCAAATACTGGAAGGTGGAGTAGCTAGATCTTTATGGACATTGGAAGGAATGTCTATAATATATAATTAAGAAAAAGAATAATAGGTCTAGCCCTGGACAGTGAGGTCAACAGTTAGAGCACTGGCCCACTGAAGATCTCTGGTTCAATTCCCAGTCAAGGGCATGAATCTGGGTTGCAGGTTTGATTCCCAGCCCCAGTCAGGGTGTGTGTGGGAGGCAACCAACTGATGTGTTTCTCTCATATCGATGTTTCTCCCACATCGATGTTTCTCTCCCCCTCTCTTTTTTCCTCCCCCCTCCCTCTCTTCCACTCTTCCTTCCACTCTCTCTAAAAATCAATGGGAAAAATATCCTGTGATGATCCTAATTTTTTTTTAATTGAGCATATACATATTTGTATATGAATTTTTTTTTTAAAGTTTGGAGGGATGAATATCAAACTCTATGCAACCTTGGTAGGTAAGACAAGACTTTTATTTTTAATTTTAGTAACTTAAGGTATGATATTTTATTTGTTTTTACAATGAGCATGTACTTCTATTTTAATTAAAAAGTAAATATAAAGCCCTAGCTGGTTTGGCTCAGTGTATAGAGCATCGGCCTACAGACCAAAGGGTCTTGGGTTCAATTCCCATCAAAGGCACATACATTGGTTGCAGGCTTCTCCCCAGCCCAGGCCCTGGTCAGGGCATGCACAGGAGGCAACTAATCAATGTGTTTTTCTCATACCGATGTTTCTCTCTAAAAATTCAATGGAAAAATATTCTCAGGTGAGGATTAACAACAACAAAATTATAACTAATATTATATTATCTTTTAAAAAATACTATACTTTTCTTTTAAAATCCATTTCATTGCCAATTCCCAGCATTCTGAAACTCTACATGTTGCCTAAAATTCTTGTGATTTTTATAAATGTTCTCATGTAAACATACCTAGAGCTTGAAACTAGAAAAGTTGGACCCTCACCATAAAGCTGAAACACAGTAAAATGTTTACCTGTACAAATGATTAATGTAAGGGTTGACCCCCAAGGAATTCATCCAGTTTCGAAATGTTCTTTCTTCCTTGCTCTCTCCTAGAGTAGACACAAGTTCACACTGATGATTCAGGACAAAAGGAATCAAGAACCACATTTTAAACCCTCCAGGCAGATATAAATTGGCCATACATACTTTGCCATGGTTCCTATGACACTACAAAAATTTTAGGCAAAAAAATCTCTTATTGCCAAGGTCCCTCTTTTCCCTCTGTCTAGACAGCCTCTATTTGCTCTAAATTTTTCCATCTAGTATTTTTTATTGATGTCTGTGAACTACTGAGCAATGGGTTTCTCTGTCCAGAAAAGTAATAAATAAACTACAGATGTGTGGTGATATCCATAGTTAGAATTACATGCAACATGATTGGCTAAAATTAAGAAAAGAAAATCTTTTAGCAGCCAGGATAATATCAGCACATTAAACAGAAACAAAAAGTTGTACTGTTTCCAAAGCTGTATTACTAAATTTGTACAAATAGGGTTTTACACAGAAAAGTTGCTGGGCACACAAACCTACATTGTAATTACACCAGATAGCAATGAAGGAGATGTGATTACAGGTCATAAATACAAGCAATGAGGGGGATGTAACTGCTTTACAGGCTTCTTGAGTTTAGATTGTTCCTATTGAAAATACGTAAGAGACACAGCCCCACACAGAGTGCTAAGAGAAAGAACATTTCATCATAGTAAGTCCCTAGACCTCAAAGATCACCTTGAGAAGAAACTCCTGCAGGCATTATTATTTAACCTGTGATTACCTAAATTACCTGAACATTCTCTTCACAGCAGTGTTTATATCATTTACTAGAGGCCAGATGCACGAAATTCATGCAAGAGTAGGCCTTCCTTCCCCTGGCTGCTGGCACTGGCTTCTCTCTGGCACCAGGGACCTGGGCTTCCCTCCTGCCACCAGCAGCTGGGACTCAGGCTTCCCTTGCAGAGGGAGACCCCACCCACCCACCACAGCCCGCCTGTTGGTGGCCTGGGCCTCCCTCTTTGGGGCGATCGTGGAGCCCCCCAATCGATCACCCTGCCGGCTGGTAGCCTGGGCCTCCCTCTGCAAGGCGATCATGGGGCGATGGCCGGGCCCCTGACCAATTGCATTGCACCTGCCTTGACCGGCCTGGCGCAAGTGGGTGTCATAGTGTCGTTGCTCAGTCTAATTAGCAAATTATGCTTTTATTATTATAGATAAGGAAAACGTGGGATATCCTGTGACACAAAGGGAGCAGAGAGAGAAGTGTGCCCTCCTGGTCATTTTTGCCTTTTAGTCATCACCTTAATGACAATGGTCCTCAGTGACTAGAAAATTTTTGTTTGTCTTTCAGCAAAGTTAGGGAGACAATGGAATAGATTACCCAGTGGTCAGCAAACTCATTAGTCAACGGAGCCAAATATCAACAGTACAACGACTGAAATTTCTTTTGAGAGCCAAATTTTTTAAACTTAAACTACATAGATAGGTACATTGTTATTAACTTAATTAGGGTACTCTGAAGGCTTAGCAAGAGCCACACTCAAGGGGCCAAAGAGCCGCATGTGGCTCGCAAGCCGCAGTTTGCCGACCACGGGGCTAGCCTATATCTCACTACCAGACTCCTCAAAAATGAAACATTTATAGTACGCCTTGCATCACTTCTATACCAGAGGCAAGTTCAAGCCACTCTCTAGACTTTTGTCTCATGTGAGCTTCCCAGGACAATTTGGCCTATAAATCTACAACCATCTGAATGAGCTCCAGGAACCCATTTCTATAGAGCCAGCCCCGCAGTCATCTTCAGACTAAGTCACACAGACAATAAAACCTGCATACCCAGAGGAAAAACCAAAACCTTGTAAAATCTAAAGCATTCTGTTTTGGGGGGCCAACTGTTCAGAAAATAATCTTCTCACTGTACTTTCATGTGGTTTTCAATGCCATTACCTAACAGCTTTCCCAGAGTCTGTTTGAATTCTTGTTCTGTTAAATTATATAACCATATTATTTGTTGTCTAAATTTTGCCCCCTCTTGCCCTAACTGGTTTGGCTCAGTGGATAGAGTGTCAGCCTGCGGACTCAAGGATCCTAGGTTTGATTCCGGTCAAGGGCATGTACCTTGGTTGCGGGCACATCCCCAATAGGGAGTGTGCAGGAGGCAGCTGATCGATGTTTCTAACTCTCTATCTCTCTCCTTTCCACTTTGTAAAAAATCAATAAAAAATACATATATTTTTAAAATTTTGCCCCCTCTTGTATGCATAAAAGGTGGCTGATTATTCTGTTGTATCTGCCACTACAACTTTATAATAACCTATATGAGAACCTTTTTAAAAAGAATCAAGTTAACCTAAAAATGTCTAGAAACTATGATTACCTTATTTTATAGGGGTTATTAAACAGGAGCAAATTAAATATCGGAATTTTTCCCAAAGTAACATAAATACAAACATATAATCAATAGCTTGATGCATGTGACTTGGGTTTACCTTTTAGTTTTTTCTCTATTACAATCTGTTTTTATCTACATATAAATATTTTTTTTAGTAATTAGAGAATTTTTACACTATTTCCACCTCTGAAAATCCAAATTATGTTTTAAAATAACAAACATTAGTAGTGTAACAATTGTTTAATTTTTAATTAGAATAATATCTAAATTCTGATGAACCTGATAATGTAGTGTATTCTATTTAAAAAGTCACTAAGCTTGTATCTTGACTGAAAGTGTAAGTTTCAGAGGTTCACATTTCTTCCTATTATTCTCAACTAATTATATCATTATTAATTTTTGATACCTGGAAAGTAAAATAGATTTTTAAGAGAGCACTTATTTATCTAATACCATTTCAAGTTGTCTTGGTAAATAAATGCTCAAAGCCAGCAGTACTATTCATTTGTGCAAGAGCCATAGTAAAGCATTACAAAAACATATGTATTCCAGATTGTAGATGACTAAAGCAATCTCAGAAGTAAAATCTTAATTGCTGATAGAAAAGATACAAAAAACTATAGAACATTCTTTTCATTTTCATAGTCAAACTAACACCTGCAATTGAAGTTTCATGAAAAATAACAAATATATTAAAAATAGGCTAAGAGGAAATAAAAGGAATTGACATATTTAACACTCACAAATGTGGTAAGTGCTGTATAAGGGGTTTCTTCCTCTCTCTACCTGACCATTATTGAGCACATACTGTTTGCTAAATTCTTTCATGAAAGGTAATTTTTAATTCACTCTGTGATTCTTCACAATAAGTAATACTGGTCTTGTTTTATATGTGAGAAAACTAAGGCTCACAGAGATCACTCAGATGTTTAATGGTGGAACCATGATTGAACAAAGTATAATTCCGTGGCCTAGGTATTTTCTATCACCACAAATGAGTTCTGACATGGTCTCTCTATATACAGCCTATGTATTTGGCTCAATTTAATATGAAGGTTTAATATTTAGTTGGCCTTTTAATTTTCTTTATTCTATATAGATAAAATTCTTTGCCAATGAGGACATGCTAATATATGAATATGGGATGTGATAAGGTCAAGCTTCAAACTTCATAAGGATCTATAAACACAAATTTACAGAGAAAAAATTCCAATGTCAGTAAAGTCAAATACATTTTGGCAGATTTTAGAACATACATATGTTCTAAATAAAGATGATTGATAAATATTTCCCATGGTATCTTCTTATATAGTAAACTAGAGGTCTGGTGCATGAAATTTGTGCACTCGGTGGGGGCGGGGGTCCCTCAGCCAGGCCTGCACACTCTCGCAGTCCAGGAGCCCTTGATGGATGTCTGACTGATGGCTTAGGCCTGCTCCCCAAAGGGGAGCTGTCAGTTATATATCCTTAGTGCTGTCAGTTAGACATCCTTAGCACTGTGACGGAGGCAGGAGAGACATGCAGCGGTGAGCCAGGCTTCTGACTGAGCAGCACTTCCCCTGTGGGAGTGCACTGACCACCAGGGGGCAGCTCCTGCATTGAGCGTCTGCCCCCTGGTGGTCAGTGCGCATCATAGTGGCCAGTCGTTCTGCTGTTTGGTCAATTTGCATATTAGCCTTTTATTATACAGGATACTATGGAAATATTTAGCAATCTGATCCACTCTGAAAAATTCCAAAAGCATGCTGAACACTAGCAACAGAATTCAAACGTTACAAATAGGAGAACAAGCAAGTTGGACAAGATATCTAGCAAGAATTCAGTGACTATAAAAAGCAGATCATTTTTAATATGCCACTCTAAACAATGCCTTCTAATGTAAGACACAAAGGAATTTTGAAATTTTCCAGACTCATAAAAACTTAGCAGTCTTCCTTTTTATTTAATTTTTTAAAATTCTAATTTCTGATTTTATATTTCTCTGTTGAAGTCTATATTTAATCTCTCTTCCCTCTTAGTGATGTAAATGGAGGAGGCAGTCATTTCATTTCACTAGGCCTCAGGAAGAGTGAATTGAATTAATCATATTCTTCAAAGAACATACTTGTTAACTCTAAAACTTCTCCCACTAACTAAAACAACTGTAATTATAAAGTGACAAAGACATCAGAACTCTGGCTGTGGCAGTCAGAGAAAAAGATCATGAAACTGATTTCTTATTCTATCTCAGGAAGGGAGAAGGAAGTAACATGGGTGATGCGAGTGAATGAACACTGAATTGTCAAATTCTCTCCACCAAGAATCCCTACTTGAGCACTACCTTCTCCAAAACAGAGCAACTAGTGGGAATATTTTAGGATTGGCCCTTACTTCAGACAACTGCCACCACTTTTTTACTTTTAGCTGGTACTAAAGTGGGTTTTGGTATGCATGAGTGAGAGGGTGAAAATGGGAGAAGAAAAGAAGAGAGGCTGGGAAACAGAAGAGGAGAAAGAACTAGATATTGAGAATGTATTTGTCATTATGACGATTCATATATTATAAGCTTCAATGACATTCAGTAAATGAAACACAGTTAAATAATACAAAATAATGTTACAGAACCTAAATAGATCCTTTCAAAAATTACTTGTGATAAAAGATGTTTGTTTATTTACAGGAGAGAGATAAAGGCTTTGCATCAAAACATGAAATCCAATTGTCAATATTGATTTCTAATGTGCTTACAACTACACTCCCATCATTACAGAGAGCAAATTAGGTGAAGAATTTACATAACCAACCCTTGCTCTGCTATTCAAATTAAGCTTCATTTGTGTTCCTTGCTTATTATCATTCATTCTTTAGGCATATTAAGACTGAAAAAAACACAGCATGAACAATGCAAAAAATAAATATCAACCCAGATAAAAAGAATAAATGGTATTAATAAAAAGAACATTCAGAATGACTATAGAGAATATAGGAAAGTACTAAATACAGTACCTACATTAGGAGGGGTCAAATCTGCATTTCATGAAGCAAAACAGGAAAGTAATATAAATTATGAGACAGATAACAATAGCCCACACACAAGACAAGTAATGAATATTGTAAATTTTTTCATGTGCAGTAAAAACATTAAAAAGAGAACAAAACTGGAATCAAACTGTAGCTTTCAAAGGAGAAAACAAGCTACAAATAATTATTTTTTCCAATAGATAATTCAATGTCCATATTCGTGGTGGAGTTATGTTATGTGGTCATTTAAGAAAATATTTTTAATATGTGATAGTTTTCACTAACATCTTATAGAGAAATGACAGACAAGTAAGATTTACCCCAGACCTTTTAACCAAAACCAATAACCACTTTCTTTAATTTTAACTTTTAATGGATACACATGCCTACATACAGTAAACTATGCCTCCCACCACACCCTCCTACCTCTGAGAGTAAAGTAGGTCAATATCACAGGAAGATACATACTGTGAATCAATTAAAGTCAGAAAAAACATACCTTCCAATAAATTCATATCGATGTCATTATTATCAGGCTTGTGTAGGCATGGGTATGTGTTAAACAGATTAGCTACAAAAGCTAAATTAAGTTTAGGATTGCCTGAAACCACATCTGCAGGAGTAACAAACTGTCTGCAGCCCAGTTTATCTGCTTCTTGAAGCATGAATCCAGCACGCTTCAGGTCATTTTTCTCCTAAACAATAAAATAAAATAAAAATGGTCAAGATTAAACTTTTAATTGGCATAACCTTTTATTGCTATACATATTTATAAGCAATTACTTTTCTGGAAATATATATACATATATATATAGATAGATAGATAGATATAGATAGATAGATATAGATAGATATATATAAAAGCCTAAGTAACCATCCAACCATTTGACCGTCCGACTGGTAGCTATGACACGCAATGACCACCAGGGGACAGACACTCAACGCAGGAGCTTCTGATCTTCGGTTACTTGGCAGCTGCGGTTCTCGGGTGACGCATCTGAAACCAGAAAGGAGGGAGCACGATTCCGGGGTGCATCACCTGAGAACCACCCTCTCGCAATCTGGGACCCCTCAGGGGATGTTGGAGAGCTGGTTTCAGCCCGATCCCTGCAGGCCAGGGTGAGGGACCCCACCAGTGCATGAATCAATGCACTGGGCCTCTAGTTGTAAATAAAGCTGCTATGAACATAGGGGTCATATAATCTTTTCAATTGGTGTTTTGAGATTCTTAGGATAAATACTCAGAAGTGGGACTGCTGGGTCAAAAGGCAGTTCCTTTTTTAATTTTTGAGGAAACTCCATACTGTTTTCCACAGTAGTTGTACTAGTCTGCCTTCCCAACAGCAGCGAAGTAGGGTTCCCTTTTCTCCACATCCTCACCAGCACTTGCTGTTTGTTGATTTTTTGATGATAATCAATCTGACAGGTGTAAGGTGATACCTCATTTTGGTTTTAATTTGAGTTTCTCCAATGACCTTGAACATTTTTTCATGTATTGGCCATGTATGTCCACTCTAGGGAAGTGTCTATTCAAGTCCATTGCCCATTTTTAAAAATATATATTTTTATTGATTTCAGAGAGGAAGGAAGTGGAAGAGAGAGAGAGCAACATCAATGATGAGAGAAAATCATTGAATGTCTGCTTCCTGCACACCCCCTACTGGGGATCAAGCCTGCAACCCGGGTATGTGCCCTTAATCAGAATCGAGCCCAGGATCCTTCAGTCTACAAGTCGATGCTCTCTCCACTGAGCCAAACTGGCTAGGGCCCATTGCCCATTTTTTAATAGGATTGTATGTCTTCCTTGTGTTGAGTTATATAGAATTGTTAGATATTTTGGAGATTAACCCCTTATCTAATGAATCATTGGTGAATATGTTCTCCCACACAGTGGCTCTCTTTTCATTTTGTTGATGGTTTCCTTTTTTGTGAAGAAAACTTTTAGTCTGATGCCAACCCATTTATTTTTTTCCCTTTGTTTCCCTTTCCCTTGGAGACATATTGAAGTGTCTTTATATTTTAGAAATACACATTGAAATATTTATCAATGAAAAGATGACATCTACCCTCACTGGTTTGCTCAGTGGTTAGAGCAGGGGTGGCCAAACTTTTTGACTCGAGGGCCACAATGGGTTCTTAAACTGGACCGGAGGGCTGGAACAAAAGCATGGATGGAGTGTTTGTGTGAACTAATATAAATTCAAAGGAAGCATCATTACATAAAAGGGTTCGGTCTTTTTTTTTTTTTTTTTTAGTTTTATTCATTTCAAATGGGCCGGATCCGGCCCGCGGGCCATAGTTTGCCCACGGCTGGGTTAGAGTGTCAGCCCAAGGACCAAAGGGTCACAGGTTTGATTCCCAGTCAAGGGGACATGCCTCAATTGCAGGTTCAATACCTGACCAGGGAGGACACATGAGAGAGGCAACCAATCGATGTATCTCTCTCACATCAGTGTCTCCCTCACTTCCCTGCCTTCCCCTCTCTAAAAAAAATCAATGGGAGGATTAACATATAAATAAACAATCAGGGGAGGATTAACATATAAATAAACAATCAGGGGGGGATTAACATATAAATAAATAAACAAATAAATAAAATAAAAGACATGATGTCTAGGATTTGCTTCAAAATAATATGGGAGAAGAAGGAAATAGGCAGGTGGTAAAAGTGACAAAAGATTGCCCATGAGCTGATAGTTGTTGAACTTTGGGGATGGACACAAGATAGATAGTTCAGTACACTAAGTCTGTTCACTTATGAATATGTTTGAAATTTTACATGCTTTTCTAAGTTCCTAATATTTTGACTCAGACTAATTTGCTAATTTGCATCCTACATAATAAAAGCATAGTATGCAAATTGTCCCCTCGACTGGAAGTTCTTCTAGGAGTTTGACCAGGGGGTGGGGCCAGTCGGGGGAAGGGAGGGAGGTCCCAGCCAGCTACTGCCAACTGCTAGGGACCCTACCAGTGCACAAAGTTTGTGCACTGGGCCTCTAATAGTTTTATAATACTAAGTTTCTTAGATGTGTCATTATTATAATTTTTAATATAATTAAGTAATGACTTATATTGCCTTTAAAAATAAATATTGTGGATATTATACTTTAAGTACTTAATAGATTTTCATACAAACTATAGTCTGACCTAATTTTAATGTTTAGCTAGAACCATCCCTGGTATTTACAACTTATGCTAAAAGAATGGGCTGCCTAGGAATTGTGTTAGATGGATCAGGGCCTGTATCAGCCCTTCCTATACCACAAATACTAGGAACTGTCATTTTTTTGTGTGTGTATTTCCAAATATAAGTTGGTAGAACTGATAATTAATTGCTTAGCGATCTCATAATGGCTTGTTGCTACCTTTCCTAGTGCACGGTGATATTCACAAAAACACTCTGTGAGTTCCAGTTGTGTTGCACCAGGGAAAGTAGATGTAGGATTGATTCCACACATACTCAAGGTTGGAATTCTGCCATTCCTTTTCTTTATGACAACCAGATGACTTAGCATGCAGATTTGGAGCTTATGGCATGAGAAACTTGTGAAGATCAAGCTTTAATGTAGGGCTGAGGACTCCACAGGGAATGTTGCCTATTGAGAACTGTATTCTAAATTTGACTATCCTCACTCATCAAATTCAAATTGGGGTGAGGAAAATGGGGAGTTTTTACTGGGTACAGATTTCACTATGGGGTGATGAAAAAGTAGATATGATTAGTGTTGATGGTTGCACACAATGGGAACAGACTTAATATCACTGAATTGTACACTTAAAATCGCTTAAAATGGTAAATTTTATCTTAAGCTTATTTAACCAAAATTTTAAAAATTTAAAACTACTCACATTAAATCCAGAAAGATCAATGGCAATGGCAGGTCCATCATCCCTGTCACCTTTAGGTGCAATCTGATTAAGCAGATGAAAATAGGCTCTTGAATCCTTCAAGGAAAGAAATGAAATTTTTAAAATGAATAAAATCATCTTTTGATTTAGGGAAAAAGTGCTCAAACTGAAAAAATAGTCCTCATCTCAAAGAATGGAATAATAACTATTAACTTTATTATTATTTATATGTTCCTCAATCACTGCTATTTTTCACTTCAGAGCTTCCAGCAACAATGTTC